CGAAACACATCATCATAAGGGATGGATCTCTATATTCTATATTGTACCAAAATATAATATTGAATAAAGCCATTAATAATAATAATAATAATTAATAATAATAATAATATAGAACCCTGGACAAGATTTAAGAAAGGAAGGACAAGAGGACAACAATTAGCGACAGTCGAACACGAATAAAGAAAGTCAATGTCCAAGCTAAATAAGCAGAGGCAAACAAGCAAAAAGTGCCTGGAAGACCTCGCAGACAGTAGAAAAGATGCAAAAGAAGGAAATATGAAACAACTATATGACACAACGAAGAAGCTAATAAGGAAATATCGTAAACCAGAGAGATCGTTCAAAGATGAAGAAGGCAAGTTTATCACTAGAATTCAAAACCAGAGAAACAGATGGATGGAATACCTTGAAAAGCTCTTGAATAGGCCGGCTTCATTGAACCCAAGGGATATCAAAACAGTACTTACAGACCCTCCTATTGATGTTGCTCTACCAACGATCGAAGTAATCAGGATGGCCATCAGACAAATCAAGAGTGGGAAAGCAACAGGACCTGACGATATACTAGTTGAAGCACTGAAGCACTGAAGATACCAAAGAAAGGGAATCTGAGCATGTGAGAATTACAAAGGCATCACACTACTCCCAATACCATGGAAAGTTTCCAACTTAGTATAACTGAACTCGATGAGAGACTCAAAACACACCCAACTTTGAGATCGACTTGCTGGATTCCGTAAGGATCGGTCGTGCAAAGAACAAGTCGCCACACTACGGATCATCGTTGAACAATCAATTGAATGTAATTCGTCACTATAAATCAACTTCCTTGATTATGAAAAAGCATTTGACAGTGTCGATAGAAAAAAGAGGGAAAATAAGGAACACGCTTCGACCGTCAAGAATCTGTGAATAAGTTACGGAACAGATAACAGTAAGTAGTAAAATATAAAGATGAACGAAGGTTCGAAAAAATGAAGACCAAACTAAAGTAAATATCCAGAACAAAATGACGCCAAATTTGAAAGGGTTTACTACTAATAAATGCTAATATTTGAATATTTACTCTTCACCATCTATATACTAGTTGCAAACACCTTAGTCTTAGAGTAAGCGGATGTCTTCGCATGCTCAGTAAACTTTGGATTACAAACAGTGGTCAGAGAAGCTGCTAGTATAAGGGGATCAAATCAATATCACTGTTTGGTTCCTGTATTACATTCAGTCATAATGGACAGCAGATAAGCAGAACGCTTCTATACGCAGAACTCAGTATTTTAAAGTCATACCGCTAACTACTTCATCTCAACGTTCTCATATTAAGCTCGTTAAAATTGATAGGTTTGTTGAAAATTGTGCTCTACGCTGGGCTATGAGTTGTACACCTTTTTGGAATTTCCTTTCTCTACCAGTCCCATGTTACTGACAAACAAAACAGCTAAAGTTTCTTTATCATAAGTCAAATGTTCATGTAACATCTTACATGAAATAAAGTGGACCAATCGAGTAAAGTAAGAGCTTCTAAACAAGACGTGATAAGTTATTTGGGCAGCGTAAAGATGATCAGGAAAAATTTTGAGATCTGTTAACTAGAAATAAAATAACAGGTAATAAAACAAAATCGTGGTGAACTCGAAATGTGTGGTGTGAAACCTATTTAAATCTCATGTAACATGCAAAAGCTGGGGTTGTATATGCTTCTAGTAACCGGAAACTGTAAGTTACTAAGCAGGACTGGAATTGCACGATATTGTACTGTCCATACATGGAACAAAATTAGTTATCATAACCAAGGTTATGGTCGCTCCCTTTTCTTATTATGTTTATAGTCTATTAAAAATACGTTTTAGGATTCAAGTAGTCTTTCTAGCCCTTTTAATTAGTTGCAAATGTTTTCCAATACAATGAAAAATGTTAGTGCATGACCAAGTTTCCTGTCTCTTCGGAATCCCTATATATAAGGTATGTGAAAACGAAACGAGGTACTAAAAGTTTCAGAAAATTAAAATGAGATATATCTTTTGGTCTAAGAAGAAAGCAAGATTTTCCCAGTCAATTCTGATTTATATCGACAACAAACCTTCATGAAGGATTACAGAACATTAGTTTGACTCACAAAGACTATTAAGAGATCATGTACTACTGTGAGATCGCCAGAACATAGATTATACACTGCGAAGGACAATCATATCAGCTCAGTTTTCTCTAACCACCACTTCTAACCGGAGGATAACATAAGTCTACCGTCTATGGAAAACCTAAACGCTAATTGTAATCGGATAATTTGATCTACCAGAACAAGTTCAATAGGTTATAGAAACCTGCCTATGGCAAATTAGTTGGACAATGGTTATTGTCTCCTTCAAACGACTCATTTGGTACCTGCGACACTTCTGGTCGTACTGAACCAATTTACCGTCTTTAGTGTAATGAATAAATGAGGGTTACTATCCCAAATTCATGAACTCAGAAAGCCGATACACTATGAACATCTAAGTACGATGGGTTCCTGTAAAACCTGTCTTGTTAGTGATATGTTGATTGGCAAAGTTAATCTCAACGGTATTCAGCTTTTTCGAGTGTATTGTTAATTTACCCGGTGTTTTGGATTCGTTAAGGTACTCACTTATCTCACAAGTAAAGTGATTTATAGTGATTATTCCTCATATTCCAACTGCTGCTTTGTTCTCAACGATAGAAAACTTTTGTGAAAGATGTCTTGATGTATTTTAGACCTGCCGCTCTGTATTTTGACAAGCCAATTGTGTCTTGTAAAGTAATTAATAACAGTCCATTCCTAGTTGTCTTCATGAAATATACCTTTATTCCTTCTATGTGTCCTGGTTTACGTATCTTAAGCCGACTGGTCATCGTAGGAGATGAGCAGCGTGATGTACATAAATTTGATCTGGTGTTCATACTTGATCGAGTGTTTTCAGCTAGACTGTGTGCAGTAAGACTAATGAGGTCAGCGAAATGTCGGAGACTCCTGATCTATTTGTTCTGGTGATGTATTGACAACTACGATCTATTTCTCTTTAAGTCATTTATTAATGATTCGCCAATTACTCTTAATTCCCGGTCTCTACTGCATACGAATGATTTCAAGGTTTCAGAGGACAGACAAGGTTGCACAGGTATATCGACTCTTCAAAATTATTTAGAAAGTAAAAATTGCTCGGTCATTAAAAACTTGTGCCGTAGTAACTCAAGTAAATGATGAATTCCAGTGGCAAGTAGTAGTAATACAATGACCATTTATCTGGTACTACAATTTTATGCGATACTTTATTTTTTCCCTAATACATTCTGTGACGAATACAACCATCTTTATTATATTAAAAACGTTGAGTACCCTAAATCCCAAACTATTTATAGCCGTTTCTGGTGCTTATTCAAGATTCTGTCATGATAATTTACTTATGTATTTATCCCCAAGATATCACTTTATTGGAAAGACCCATGTGACACTTGAAATTAGGTAATCATTTGCTTTTTCTCAGGCTACAAAATGTTCCGGTGGGGTTCCTAAGGGTCTATTGCTGAGACCTCTTCTTCTCTTAGTTTGCGAAAATGACCTTCTTCAAAAGCTATTATTTGATTTATCAGTTTTTTTAACGATGCGAAACTCTGGAGAAACGTTTGCAGTTAAGAAGGATCTCATCAAACTTCAAAGTTGAGCCGACAACAACGAACGTGCTTTCGACACTTCAAAGTGTAATATAGTCCAGAGATTTAATTAGTCTGAGACCTAATGCAGACTATTCAAACAGCTTAGGTAAATCCATCCTAAAGATATCCCAATTTGAAAGATCTAGAAATGTTGGTACCCCGTGATCTGAAATCTTACTCTGAGATAAAAATACCTTTCAGAGAACCTTTCACTTGTATCGCTGAGACGCACTTTTCGTCAGTTCAACGGCATAGTTTTCCATTCAACCTTCGACAGTTTTATTTGTCCTCATTTGAAGTATGGAGGTTTAGCGTTTTCTCCCTCACTTCAAAAAGATAAGAATAGACTCGACCGCATCAAATGGCAAGCCACGAAATTAATTTGACAACTCAAATTCGAGTTATATTAAGGGTGCTTCAGATCACTTAGTTTCGGCTCACTAGAAATGAACTTCCAGTGATTTATAGCACTCTAAACATTCCTCGGCATCCCCTTAAATTTATACTTAGGCTCTGTCCCAACCCGAAACTTAAGGGTGACACTGAGGAAATTAGAGGCGACATAACAGAATCGGTTGTGGGCACACCTTCTACTCTATACAAGTAGTCGAATCCTGAGATTCTCTGCCGGTTGACTTAATCCAATTGACTTTCCAGAAGTTCTTCCAAAGAACACTTGACATGTTATTCTGGACTGATTATAGTGGCTAAATGTAATTTTCTACTAGTTTATTATTATTATTATTATTATTATTAGATATACCTAGGCTCCTACCTTAAGACATTAGTTATCCGTGCTATTAGATGAGATAGCCCGTGGAGCGAAAGCTATCATCCCACCGAAAACCATTTGGACTAGGAGATAGAATCTGTAAAGTAGTCATAAAAAGTATACAATCACATGCATCATATTGCTAATAATAACATTCATTCTAATTCATTATCACGAATTGCACTCAAGAAATCATCCCCTACTAATAGGACACGAATGAGCAAATAGAAATGTACGCAGTGTTTTCACTGCTAAAAACTATAGATTTTGGAATTCTCTACCAGAGCGATGGCGATATTTCTTATCATTGGCACTTTCAAAAGACGGTTTTATAGCTAGTTTTATTTCAACTGTAGTACCGTTGGAATCGCCCAAAGTACTTTGGGCGATTAGGTATTCTTCCTTGAACACTCCTGTTATTAACTATTGTTTTCATCGGATTTACAAAGGCTTCAAAATAGAGATATGTGGACAATTCTAAATCAGATTCCAAGATACAAACAATTCCCTTTTTCTGTACTTATGAGTTTTGAAACACGAGGTTTACCTCAAGGTTGACTCGACCGCGTATCTTAAAACGATCGCAAGTTCAAATTCAGCTTCACATACTGGTATTTAATACCTGGGTAGTGGTTTCGGTCCTCACTCAATATATGTGACTATCGCCCTAATACACTGAAGTCTCGGTGGTTGAAAATCTTCATTTCCTTCCTTCCTACTAACAAATCATTTAGATAATTAAATGGATAGTTCAAAACAAAATAGTCTAGTAACAGATGTCGAGTTTACTTTTCCCAAAACTCAGGCTAAAATAGGAGTTCCTACAAATTTTTTATTAATAATAGCAGTTTAAGGATGTAGAATTTTCCTCGGCGTATGAGAGTACGCTAGGTTACATTTCACGTAATGACTATTTCTGTTAGAATATATTAGGTTACACTAATTTAGGATTCTAGTACCTCTCAAGACGTAGTCTTTTTGGAGTTTGAACTATAATGGGTTACTTTGAGGAAGATTTCCTCGCGACATTTTTAAGATATGATGATTCAGTAATCCCTAAAACAAGTTTGAATTTTTGTGTTTTTGTTTCATTCTCCCGAGATTTCCTATTGTAGCTTCTCCAACGTTGGGAGATTAGATTTACTTAAAGTAATTGATATAATAGCATTTCTATTCCTTACTGTCCAATGCCATAAGCCTCATGGGTTAGATATATCAGATGCGTCTTAAGATTGTCTGAAAAATGTATGAGAATAAAGGTGTGGTTTATAAAGGATGGACGAGGATCATCACAAACTCGAATAGAGTGTGGTTCAAGATAATCAAATAACAATAGGTTGATATTAAGGTAACTTCCTGCCATTCTAAAATTTTACAAGATGAACGTGATGGTCCTCTTGTTGAAGTTCTTCATAAATATTTTTTGTACTGTGGATGTTTATACTGATATTTAAAAACAATCTGGGTTCGTGAAAGTAGATATTCCTAACAACCCTCGCGCCTCCATTCTAACCAGAGTTATGAATAGCTAAGCTCTTGAGATAATGGAAATTAGACGTAAATCCTTCGGAAATTTGGGTTCAAGTCTATGCTGTAAAATAGATATTTCACTTAACCAGTCAGCTGTACTGGCTCTGCTGGCCACTCCTGAAATTTGGTTCTAAAAGTAAATTGTTATGACTGGCCACGTTTATGGTCTAGTTGTATATTTATATTCACCAATCCACTTCATATCTGATTCGCATCCCGTCTTGAATACCTACCTATATTTCTGTACAGTAGGTTTATTGTCTTTTCTAGCGAATTTAGTCCAAAGATGACTCATTGAAAAACTCCAAATTGCTGCGCACTAATGTCTGTTGGTATCGTTTATGGTGATCAGTATAGACGGCTGTGTTGTAGCTCACCTAAGTTTGGCGACAGATACGCCTTGGTCATGGATTTAATCAATGCATACAAACTCATTCCAGAACTTTCTCGTGTGCCTCCCTTACAGTGGGATTCACCTAATCTCATGTATGAAGCAGTGACTACCTTTCACTCGTAAGTATTTCCGTAGATTATTTAAGTGAGTTTGTTTACTGTTCAATCACTTTAATAAGTAAAACAAATCGAATTCAGTACTCCGATTATAATTACCTAACCACTTTCCTTTGTTATCTACATCTGTATTAAAACAAGTAGTTGCTAGTTAGTTTCTATGTACATTACAAATGTTCTTGAATTGAAAGTATCGTGTGTGTTTTAGAACCAGTTCTTGTCTACATTGATGTAGTTAAATTTATCTGCAGCGGCAACTCAGTCGAACTACGGTAATATGTTGCTATACTGAGATAAATTGGAAAATGTTGGAACTGAAAGCAGTTACTGTTGTGGTGCGAATAACTTATTTAATGAGATCGGAGTTCGTCCCATTTATCAAGGGCACCGTATCTAGTACATAGTAAAAACTTGTAAACTACGATAAGGTCAAGTATGTGTACATAAAAATTTTAATCCTTTGAATTTTTGGGTCCAAATTACCGTGAATCTAGTTCTGGTAGTATCCCTTTGCTTAGTTCATAGTTTAGCTTCTTTTCACGTTAATAGACTTAAGTCTTTATTGAATTATTCGGTGGAGAATGAAACATTCTGAAAACTCTTACCACTATCGATCAATAAAAGTTAAAAACAGATCATAAGAAGAGCAAAATTATAATGTTTCTACCTATTTAAAAGCCCCAGCAGTCAGCGTATCGTAATGTAGAAATAATTCAGTTATCACAACTTTAATCTTAAGGAACTAATAGGATTTCTTAAGTCAGAATCTAAATGCACTATATTTAAAATATTTTATTTTCATACAAATTCTACATGTCTTCGTAGAGCCACTTAATTCTTCATTGTTCTTGATATCGATCTTATTTTCTATTTTTCTTCAGTAAAGAATATGTTGATGCTCTTAAAAAATTACAAATGCTACACATTGAGGAGAAAGAATTGACTGCTGATGACGAGTTACTTATGGATTCATTTAGTCTGAATTATGACTGCCCTGGTTTTCCTAGTGTTTTTGATTATTCGTTGGCTGCTGTTCAAGGCAGTTTAGCTGCAGCTAATGCTTTAATCAGTCGTCATTGTGAGGTAAAACTCTTTGCACTATTTATCTTCAGAATAAAAGTATCAATTGAGTATTATAGTGCTTTTGTCGTCCCTACTTCTTATTGAACACAACGTTGTGTTGCTATTATTGTTGTTTCTGTTTCACCTCTGATTTAACTAATAACTCAAGTGAAATACTTTTTTTTAAATTTTAAAGTGGATTCTAATCGCAGAGAAAATTCTCGTCAAAAAACAGCAATCACTGTTATAAAATACTTTTTGAGAAAAATTGTTAGCTATTATTGGGTAATAAGGCAATTTGTTCCTTCCCATTTCGAGTAAGATCGAATTTTCCACAAATACATATTCTCACAAAGCCGAAAAGTAGTCGTTTCTATTTTGTAATGAGAGTTTAAAGTGAAAATCTTGATTCATAAAAAAGCATTTTCAATACCTTTTTGAATAATAAGAAAGCACCAAAGGTCTATTACATAATACTGAGTCTCGATCTTCGTCGACTAACAGAAAACTTTCTAATGTAGTAAAGTATACATCTTCATATATTTTTAAGTTGGTTTGACCCTTTGTTTTGCTTCTTGCCACTGTAAAGTACATTTTAGTTTCTTTAGTATTGCGAAACCAGAGCTATATCAAAGCTTTATTACGAACTACTAAAATTCATTTTAACAACTAATTAGGTATTTCATAAACTAGAAAGTGCGATATTTTACGTACTCTTAATTACTCCGTCATGTGGCATAACTTCCCTAAACTTTTCTGTAGTCTCTTAAGAGCTCAATTCCTAAGACAATCATGTTAACAAAAACTTTGTCCTAAAAATCAAAAGTTTGAATTGGGCTCTAAAATTAAAGTAAACCAGTGAGAATCGCATAAATAGTTTTTGGAATGTATATTTAAGGTCCTTTGAAATTATGGTGTAGCTTTTAGAGCGCTTGACTCGCAAGCAGTAACCATCTGCTTATGTTTATTATGATTGACTGAGGTTGCAGGTCCAAACTTCACCATACTTCGTTTGGATAACCACCCAACCTCACACAAAATGTATGGTTTAATGCCGATGATATAAATTTATTTGGTGAGATCCATTTTATTATTACTTGTGTAGCCATTTCATTATACCCATTAACTGCTTACTGTATCACTAGTATATATTTCACCCCACTGGTCTTTTTAAAATCGTTATTTTTATCCTCAACTTTAGGTCGTTATCAACTGGGGCGGTGGGTGGCATCATGCCAAAAGAAGTGAAGCTTCTGGATTTTGCTATTTAAATGATATCGTTTTGGCCGTCCATCGACTGGTTTCATCAACCCCATCAGAAATTTCACCCAACAGACAGACACGAGTATTGTATGTTGACCTTGATCTTCATCATGGTGATGGAGTAGAAGAAGCTTTCTGGTATAGTTCTCGTGTAGTTACGTTTTCCGTACATCATGCCTCTCCTGGTTTCTTTCCCGGTACAGGAACCTGGAATATGTTCGATAATGATAAACTACCGATTTTCTTAAATGGCGCTGGTCGTGGCAGATTCTCAGCATTCAATTTGCCATTAGGTAGTTTTGTATTTCATTCAGAAACTTTCTTACTCCCTTTACACCTTCATTTCTCAGTAGTTATTTAATAACATATATGTCGACGGAAAAAAAACAGTAACCATGTCGCAACACAACAAGTTCATCTCAGTTTACAAATATGTGTCAAAACAGTGTTTAAGAGTTAATGTCATCCAGTTCGTCAACATAAATTTAATGGAATGACTTTTGCTCTAGTAGTATAGTAGTTGAGAATGTAGCATATATTCAACATTAGCTTATATATATATATATATATATATATATATATATATATATATATATATATATATATATATATATATATATATATATATATATATATATATATATATATATATATGCGTTCGTGTTCCATCTGTATTTACTTTAAGGTCTATTAATTTGTTGTATTTAACTGAAAATTTAATAATAATTTTTATAACATTTACCACTGGTAAATAATGGTTACTTTCAATCGATTGGTTACTGAGTAATGGCTAATATTACATTTTTACTAGTTCTTCATCCTGTAAGTATGTTTTCTTGTTCCCCCTTTCTTTTAACATTTTCTAAACCAATTGCCAACGTAGTGTCTAATTATTCGTTCTTAAAGTGAGCAATCACCCACCTGTATTATTGTTTCTTTCGTTAAACAACAGTCTAAATATGAACATTAATTTACTTTACTTTTTCAGTTTAAAATAAACCTAATAAAACTAATAATATTTTGATTCTGCTAAAAAAGAATGAAGGTCTATATAATTGATAATAAACAATATCGAATCAAATTATCATCACTTTGAAAAAACTTGTTATTATATCGCAGAAATACACTCACAAAATTTCCTACATACTTTGTATATTTAACAAAAAAATAATATCGAGTGCTAACCTGTATAGTCATAGTATAAGAGTTTAGTTACCATAGTTTTAGAATTTTCTAGTATTCATTTTCTTTCAAAAAATTAATTTCTAACGAAGCCCTTTTCTCACTCAAACTAACCGCTTTGTACTGAGATTGATATGTTTAAATAAAAATATGTATCTTAATTAACAGATCTATGGTAAGTGTGAATAGCATGATAAAAGTGTTGGATCCTAAACTGGTATTACAGTTTAACAATATGTTAAACATTAGGAATTGTTTCATCACTATGTCATGTGTCTTTCTTGATGCTACTTTTCAATAAAATACGAAGTGGCCCACCGACGATACTTAAGAAATAAGAAATTTTAGGTTCCGACTCAATTGTCGTACCCGTTACTGGCCTCTTCTAAGTTCGAACAGCTCAGTGATAACGTTGTATACTGTAAAGCCGGTTGACCCTGGTTCGAATCCTCCAGTTAGCATCAACTCCCTTGATATTAAAAGCGTACCTTGCTGGTGAGTGCCAAATAGCGCTAAACCTATGTCCAGGGCTTCCTGTCAACTACCTCGGACCACCGAACATCTCATAATGGTTACTCATCTCATCACTGCTATTTCCACTTTGTAGGGAAACAATATGGTAATATTTTATGATGAAAGCTAAATTTATATACAACATAAGTTTCTTAGAAGACCGTAAAAGGAGATTCTGATGTGTTGTTACAAGTGTGAGTCGTTTAAAAAATATATCTTTGTTTTTTGGACATATTTCATGCTAGGTTTGGTGATGATTTTCCGTATTTTATAGGTATCATGACCAAGGTTTGATTTGATAATTTCGAATAAATTGAGCATTGGGTTGATTGTTATAAATAAAAATAATATATTTGTAATATCCCAATGAGTAGAAAATTAGATTTTCTGACGTTTCGTAACTTAGTGTAAGTCACTTCTTCAGAGAATAAATAACCAAATTAAAATTAATCCAAGCTTAAATAGTACAACGGAACAATGCAAGAATAATATTTGATTAATCAAAAACAAGTCTGAACAAGTTGATGTTTTGTCATTTTTGTCAAGGTGATTCATAAGTGATATGTATGTAAATTTGTGTATGTATGTATGTGTGCATTGCTTAAGAATGAAAATTTGTGTGACCTTTATGGTAAGAAAGGATAAAGTTTAAATTTGTAATATGATAGTGTGAAATTGTAAATACGATCAGAATGAATGGTTAGGATAGACGGTCCAAGTAGGATGTATGGTAAGGCCTTCTTTTCTATTGAGAGAAGTAGGATTAAGCATTATATGGAACGCCTCGACTACCCTCCTTTCTTTGTAGTTGGAAAAGCCTTTTTGCAATATTTTGATATTTTTAAAATCCGTTTGGTGGTTGTTGGAAAATGGCATGAACTGCTATTGCCGATTTAATTTGAAGTTGGTTCAATTCTACAGGATTGTTAGGAGGTTTCTTTGTGTACCTAATATGTTCTTTGGCTCTAGTCAAGATTTCGCGGGACGACTCTCCAGAAAATCTAATTTTCTACTCATTGGGATATTACAAATATATTATTTTTATTTAGAAGTATTTTAGTTAGACATTATATGTGAAAATTATATTTGAAATATTCTCAGCGATTGAAATATAATTTTGACATATAATGACTTATCTATACTCGGCGCTCAATTGCTGTCAAACTATTCGTTCTAATCTTGACGAATATTCGTATATATTTTAGTTAGAGTTTTGAGTCTTTCTTTTGACTTTTTGTAGTACCATTAGCCATAATATAAATCGTGCCCTTAGTGATTGAGTTGTAAACAGTGGTGAATACTGTTACTGTCATAAGGCTTTTTGACATTTCACTGCTTGGGTATGGGTAAATTTTAAGTAATTTGAGCTAAACATTATGTACCTTAATAAATTGAGTTCTTTTTAGGGAAATAATTGCATAAAATTTTGTCAAAAGCTATTTATTTCTATATATGTTTACTTATTTATTTCTGCTTACAGAAGAAGGCATCAATGATTTGGACTGGTCAAATGCTATTGGCCCTATACTTGATTCTCTTAACATGGTTATTCAACCAAGTTATGTTGTAATTCAATGTGGAGCCGATTGTTTAGCTACTGATCCGCATCGAATATTCCATTTAACTAATTTTTATCCTAGTTTCAATTCAGATTGCGACTCAGAATGTAGTTTAAGTGGTTATTTGTACGCTATTAAGAAGATTTTATCATGGAAAGTTCCAACTTTGATACTTGGAGGTGGTGGCTATAATTTTCCGGATACAGCCAGACTATGGACAAGAGTTACAGCTCTGACAATTGAAGAAGTTAAGGGTAAAAAGTATGTTGCTTTCAAACTTTTTAGTTCTTGATCTATTTTCTAGTGCTAATATGTTGTCTCGTTTTAGAGAATTGATGAATAATTCACTAGGTTCATCATCGAAGACTTAGTTCCAACTAATCTGTCATCTTGATTCTTTAGTCTGTAGAATTTTGTAAATTTATGATTAGTTTAGTATGTTCAAACTCAGTTGTCCTTTGAGCTTGATGTTTCATTATCAAGGTGTGTGCTATCATCAATGTGACTTAACAGGACAGTGAAGTAACTTGATTTTTCACCGATATTCGTTATTAAAATGTCTATCTTATTGTGGTGTGTAGCTAGCGAACTATTGAGTTTCTTGTGACACGTAATCATAATATAGAGGATACCACTGATATTTATTTGTCTCAATTAGAAAGCTTAAAATTACGTAAGCACTTTAATGCACTTGTACGAAACAGTGCTTGTCGTTGACTTGGGATTTATTTGATTTCTTATTGTCCTTATTGTTAAGATTTAAAGCTTGGATTTCAAATATTTTCACATTTTTTTCGCTTCCCAGTTGTTTATTTATCCTAGTCAAAACTTATGACATCAGTCTAGATGCCTAATTTGATACGACAACCTTATAATGTAGCCTTTTTTCAAGGAAAACTATGTATAAATTAGCAGGACATTTCTTTCCATTTAAAATACCTCCTATGCTGAGGTTGTGGTCTTATTCCAACTTATAAACTTTACGTTAATCTTTAGTTATATTTCATTTTTGAATCTAATTAAAACCAAGTCCATCGTGGACGGTGTGACTAACAGTTGTTGATTATTACTATATCTTAAAGTTACAAATGCTTCTTTCCCGCGTCTGTTCACTACTACAGGATGACACTTCTCCCTGAGATTCCAGAACACTCCTACTTTTCTCGTTATGGTCCGGATTTCGAACTAGACATTGATTATTTTCCACACAAAAGTCATAAAGAAACACTTGACAGTATACAGAAACATCATCGACGTATTCTCGAGCAGTTGCGTAATTATGCTGATTTAAATAAAATGACTTATGATTATGAGAAAGTGTACCAATTATATAATTTAACTGATATGTAAAGTGCAGCTATGAATTTATCCTTTGTTTACCATGGATTTATTGCTCCAGACTTTTTAGTGATGCAGTTCTACAGTTTTATCTCTGTAAATAAAAATACATATATGCTACTATCATTGTTGTGTTTATATTTTGTTTTTAATAGATCTAGAGAAAAAATAAAGATATTTTCATACTACAAATGTAAACATGGCTCACTTAATCATTATGAGGGAAACAATAGTCCTTGCAAAATGAAAATATTAAAGGTAGACCTGATTGTGTACTGGATTTTTCTCTTTTCCTGTTTACATTCAAAATGCTTAAAACGAAACAGGCGGGACGTCTACTACTGCAATGATTATATCAAGCGTAAAGCTAAGAGTGGTGGCTGATTAATTTATATGCACATGTAGTGACTTTGCTTCGGTAATCAATCACCTTTGTGACCGTTATCGTATAAATCCTAACGGTGTTTGAAATGAGGAGGCAATAAAAGTGGTGGCCACGGTTTATTAGTGGATAGCACAGATCACAAAACTACAAACACATCAAGCGAATTTGAAGCACAGACGAATATGTGCATGTGAGCAACTAAAGAGGCAAACTTATGGTCAAATCGCATAAGGGCACAGCAAGGCAAAGCAAAAACTAACAATAGGATTCGCGTACATATATACATGAAAAGAGAATGAATCATCGAGCGATATTTAAGCTATCGAAATTTTAGCTAGAGTCTGTCATGTGATCAATCGTACACGTTTATAAATATATGATAGGGATTATAATAGTACAAAGAAATATCCGAGTTGTTACTGTTCGAACAATATTGTCTGATAAGTAAGGTAATAAAAAGGACTTAAATAAAATTAACCATAATCGAAATTGATTGTAGGAGAGTTGTTATTAGTCATTTGGAAACCACTTAATTTAAATTGTCACAGATTGAAATCATGAGTCAGTTGAAGCTGGACCACCAGTGAAAACCCGGAAGCACTGGACGGCCGTTTCGTCCTGGCATGGGACTCCTCAGCAGTGCGCATCCACGACCCCGCACCACCCGGGGCTCGAACCCAGGACCTACTGGCTTCGCGCGCGAGCACTTAACCATTAGACCACTGAGCCGGCATCCAACGGTGTTTATGTCTAACTTCAACCAATCCACGATATCAATCAAATTGAGAAAACCGAACCCTATTTATTAGTGAACTATTCTGACGGATTGTGACCTAACTTTGACATTCACATGCTCAGATCGGTTCTTAACCGCTTCAGTTTAGCACTCGTGTTTTATCGTTTGTCTTTATCCAATTAAGTTTAATATATAACTTGATAACCTAGAGTTATATACAGTTAGATAAGTTGAACACTAATTTAAGAACAGTACAACTTAATATAGATTGTGTTTGATGTTATAATTGTTTAGGTAGTTTATCATTAAAAATTGGTTGAAGAACTGTCAGTAGTCAAGATTGGTTGTTTAGTTGGTTAATCTCATTATGTAAATCTTAATGTGCACGTAAATTCATCATCAAAAGTCAGAAATATTTCTTTATCTTAATAGCTTCTTATCGATTGATTCCAACTGTCTGAGTATCGAATCGTATGGATATGAGAAACCTCGCCATACTGGTACTAATAACCCTTAAATTGTCCAGCATATATGGTCTATCGACCACCGTAAAGTGGACTTTTCCGTCGTGTAAAACGACTATTCCAATCCATTATTTTCGAAACTAAAGACATAGTTTCTTGGTTCCCACCAATAAAGAGAAGCTTCTCAGTGTCACCTATTCACTCACAAATTTTGTACGGGAGATCTAATGATACGAAGGTCCTCGATACAAAGTGGACGTGATAAGATTCGAATATGATGCTTAGTGGTTGGAAGTCAAGTGCTTTAACCATTAATCAAACTTGAGTTAGTCTGAAGATATTCATGTTCTTGATAAGTTACCACCCAATAGTATTAAAGACCTACATACATTTTAATTTGAACAATGTAACATTGATATCCCGACCGTAGCTGCTACCTTGACACGGTGGTCGGGCTTGCCTATCGTGATGACCCAACCAAGCTATATTGCCTGGAACATATGTTCCTGTAGGTTCTGCCATGCCAGCCAGGTCGATTGGAGAACGGTATGACTAAAAGTAGCAACTTAAGGTCTGAGGGCGAAGTCGTACTGCTGATTGTAGAGTGATGTGACAGCAGTAAGGTGTTTTCCTCGGACAACTAGCATCTACAGTGATGCTGCCTTCTCACAAGGAAGGAAGGGGTTGGAAAATGTCGACCTTAAAAATGTCACACCTCACCTTACCTCACAGATTTCCGTCTCCGGCGGTAAGGCCCTTTGAAGAACGGAGCTAACACGTCAAAAACCTCCCACAAAAAGGCCGTGCGCGACTGGCCTCAAGCAGTTGTCCCTTGGGCTCTGCGGTCACGCCACTAGGTCGTTAAGGCCAACATTAATCCAACTTCCTTTTCAGGTTCCTCAAGAAATACCCTTTCACGGTGTGGACAGCCGGGAAGTGACACCAGCCCTCATACCCGTAACAGCACACGAGACCAAGTTGGTCACATTCAAATCCTTCCTACACCTCTTAATACCACTCTTATCTCCCCGACTAACCCTTCTCACGTCCTTTTTTCACCTCGCACCGCTAGGGCAAACGATTTGAGTACGCGGAACGTTATTCCTGGTCTCCTGAAACCACGCTCCAAACTACATGTAGGAGCTTTTAACGTCCGAACATTATGCCAAACAGGACAACAGTCTTCCTTAGATAGGACTTTAGAATCTCGACCCATCAATGTGTGCTGCGTCTCCGAAACGCGCATACAGGATCCGAGTAGCGTCATTCATTTGACATCACCATATCAAAACAAAGAACCAACTCGATTCACACTCCGTGTATCTGGAGGCCCAGATGTTGCTTCTCGTGGACTGGCCGGCGTAAGTATAGCATTGAGTCCTAGGGCAGAACTAGCTCTCTTGGACTGGATCCCAGTAGATAGTCGTTTGTGCGCTGTCCGATTAAACGGAACAATAAGGACTCGGGAAGATAGGGACACTCGTGGTTGTCTCTTCGTCGTCTCTGCCTATTCTCCCACTGACTGCAGCTCAGATGATGTAAAAGATGGGTTTTACAGAAAGCTTTCCGACCTCCAAAATGCTAGGCGCTCTAATGTAGCAATAGTGGCTGGTGACTTTAATGCTCAAGAAGCCTACACATTGATCACGAACAGTGGTGAGTAGCGAAAGCAAGAAAGATGGAAAAGGCAGCGGCAATAGGTAATAGCAGACAATTGTTCAGACTCGTTAGGGAAACCTGTATTAAGAACCCGACTGTTAGCGAAACTGTCTGAGAAAAAGATGGACATTATACATTCTCAATCCAGGAGATTGGATCGATGGGCAGAACACTTTACGGTTCAGTCCGACTGGCCTTCCGCTACACTTAGGCTTCCTACGATCTCCAGTCAACCTGAATGGCAAGTTAATTTAGGTCCTCCGTCTCTTTATGAGGTTGAAAAAGCTATACGAAATCTGAAGCGAGGGAGAGCAGCAGGCCCTGACAGGTTCACTCCTGAGATTTTTAAGGATGGTCCAGTATTAGCAATGAGATTAACTGAGGTCTTAGGTAGAATTTGGGAACTGGACGCAATCCCATCTGACTGGTCTCAATCACTGATTGTGCCAGTCTATAAGAAAGGACAAAAGTCCTCTTGTGACAATCACAGAGGAATCAGTTTAACTAATATAGTGTCTAAAATATTAGCTTCAATAATACTTCGACGCCTAACTAAAGCTCGTGAAGAGCAGACTAGAGAAAACTGGGCTGGTTTTCGACTTGGACGTGGTTGTATAGACCAAATATTCACACTACATCAGGTTCTAGAATACAGACACACGTTTAGACGCCCCACAATGGTAGTATTTCTCGACCTTAAGGCGGCATTCGACTCTGTTGATCGTGAGGTTCTATGGCAGTGTTTGTCATTGAAAGGAGTACCAAACAAGTACATTAATCTTGTAAAGGCTCTCTACTCGAACACAACTGGTAGATTGAGAGCTTATGGCGAACTGTTATCAGAATTGATTACTTCAAGTGGTGTTCTTCAGGGCTGCCCACTCTCTCCATTCTTGTTTAACTTTTTCATTGACGTACTTTTGGAGATAACACTTTCCTCATCTAAATTTCCAGAGGTTGAAATTCTATCAAGAGATTCACTTGCTAACTTAGAATATGCTGATGACATAGTTCTATTTAGTGAAGACGCTGACAAAATGCAGAGTCTTTTGACCACTCTAAGCAACAATGCAAGCATTTTTTGGTGGAGTTTTCTTCTCTGAGCTGGATGGTTTGGTCGTGGAGCTTTCATCGTTCTTCTGAACGACATCATCAGCACAAGCTTCAAATGGACATTTCTTATCAATAGCCTCTACAGTAACAGCATGTGAAATTTAATGAGAAAATGTATACTAACATAGAGTGACTACATATGTTAAAGGGATTGTTAATGAAAATCGGTAACGGCTAGTAGCAAAACCATCACTGATATTTTCCTAATAATTTTACGGCATTACATTCCAAACTATATTTATGAGGAAATTGTCTATTACTATAGTCACTGAAGTTGAAATGCATCTGCATCAAATTACTTATCACATTACCTAGTCTTTAGTCAAAATGGACCATGAAAATCTATTCTTTGTTAAAGGATAACTGACATCAATAAAACTTAGTAAATATACACCTATTTAATAATATAGAAACCAAGCATTGGTATATGAATATGTAAACTGTTCTGAAAATCTTTAAAATAAACTCGTTCACTATAGCTGCTAGTTTTATTACAAATTAATTTTCATCACGAACTAATATCACTTGTGAAACCATATTTAAAAAATCAGAAGTATTACTGATCTCATTGAGTGATTACCGTGAACATCACAGACACTGAATTTAGAAATGCAGTTGTTTTAATTCTGACTCTGATTTGTAAGTATTATGTTCATTTGGTTTCGTGTCGTATCAGTGCTTGCTTAAAACTAACTCCTTATGGGACATTTTCCATAAACTTAATAGTAACTGTACTCATTTAATATATCCTAGATTTCAGATGCTCCA